AAGCAGAGGCACGGTTGCAGGAGGCCACCTCGGGCTGCCCTTCGACAGGTTCTATCTGGCTGCTCGCGGGTCGAGCGGTTCAGTGTCGAATTTTCCTGCATGGGCCTGATGCTTCTACCCAATCCAACGAAGCTATGAAGCATCAGGAGATTGGAGTTTGGCCCGCTCCATGTACCTGCAACCTTTTCCAGAAGTCCCTTATGGGATTCCACAGTACTGAGGTGATGCAGCCACTTCCGATTTCACTCTTCTTTCTTTCTCCTTCTCTCTTCAGTCATGTCCAGCTGTGTACCTGCTTGTGACCGTCCCAAAAAACACCCTCAACGCTGTTGCTTCCTGTTGGTCACTCGGTGATCTGAAGTTTCAGCACCTGCTGGATGAGATCTGGCAACAGTGTACCATTGTCCATTGTACAACAATCTCTGGTTGACCTCCCTCTCTCCGTGTGTATGTGTGTGTGTGTCTGCGTGTCTCTGTGTGTGTGTGTATCTCTGTGTGTGTGTGTGTGTGTCTCTTTGTGCGTGTTTCTGTGTGTGGGTGGGTGTGTGTGTGTGTGTGTGTGTGTCTCTGTGTGGGTGTGTGGGTGGGTGTGCGGGGGTGTGCGTGCGTGCGTGGGTCGGTGTGCGTGCTTTCCCTTGTGCGCGCGAGCGCACGCGCAAGCCGAACTGCATGTCTTGCCCAGTAGTCGCGCAAAGTAGGCCTTGAGTTTGTAGATATCCACGAGTTCACAGAAGGTGCTCAAGTTTTCCTGTGAATGCGATCGTCCTCGCTGTACGATGTGTGCTGGTGCAGTCAGAACGTCAAGCCTTCAGATCTTTGTTTGCTTTGCACGGGCACCCTGTATTTTGTCAGCACAGGTGACTGAGCCCCGCTCGTTTTGTATGTATGTTTTGGAGTGGCATGGAATGGGGCATACGTGATTCTTTGGCATGCATCTCTTCCCGAAATCAGCTCAAGCTTGTGTTCCAATTCTTCTAGGGTAGAAAGTTGTTCCCTTCAGATTGCTCAGAACTATTCCCGACTAATGCATGGACGCCCCGCAGGGATAGGTAGGGTTGGGGATGATCAAAGACTCATCTAATGTGGTCGAGCCACATAGTTTCATTGCTTGCCGGCTGCATGTTCATTGCTTGTTTCCGTCTGTTGCATGTCAGTCTGGGCAAATACTGCCTTGTGCAACAAATGCTGTGTCCATTGTCTCTCGAGTACTGCGCCAAGGTGTCGAAAAAGATCACTCTCTCCAAGGCCTTCGCGCATCTTTGCTGCAAGTCCAATGGCGCTCTTTCAAGGCTGCTTCGCTGCCTCTCCTGTATGTGGTCCTCGGTCGAGCAAAGTGAACCAAGGCCAACGCTGTGAGATGGGAAGCTTTCTGTATTCCTCGCCAAATGTTTCGGCAATGCCGCATGCATGGCATGTTTGCTGAGAATGTGGTGAGGCTACAGCTAGTGCGCTTAGTCCGTTCGCCGTGATGTAAGATGGAAGATGCTGGAATGAGTAGAAAAAGTTGCTGACCGATGTGTGCACGCTGTTTCATCCTTGCGCGGCTGGATGCTGTAAGCACAAGTAATTAGGAGTAGACCGTGACGTCACACAAGCTGAGGCAAGATCTTCCCATCAGCTGTTCTCGCGGAGGTCACACCTCTACTCGAGCTCTCAAGCTAGTTGTGAATCTCTGACAGGACCACTGGCTGCCACTGACTGACAGATCTTGATGTGCAGGACATGCACGCAGCGAACCAGCGCGGTGTCATCGGGCTGCACATGCGCCAACAAGTGGACCCGAAGAAGCTTGAACTCAGCATTGCTCGCACCGCATTTGGCGTCAGTCCCCTTCGGCTTTTGGATGCTCGAGGGTTGGACAATGGTATGGCCGCTCTGGAAGCAAGCCTGCACCACGCAGTTCGTGAACTGCACAAGCTAGAGGACGTTGCCAAAGTCGTCCCGAGCAAGAGCACGCTTCATGACCGACGCGGTTTGGTTTTGCGGGAGATCCGTGAGCTAGAGTTTGAGCTGAGGAGCTACCAGTTGGAAAAGGTTCGACGACGCGAACTGGGCATGGCGACTGTTGGAATTCGGCTCCAAAACGAGAGATGGCGCATGATCCACGGCAGACGAGAACCTCAGCTGTTGAATGCTGAAGGCGTCACAGAAGCAGGCGCCACGAAAGAACGACCCAGCTTTATACAGACCAAACTTCCAGTGTTGAGTCCTTCGCGGGTGACGCGCTGTTCCAGAAAGGGCGTGGATGAGGCAGCAAAGTAGCATGGCAAAATCCCGCTTCGAGCAAGCAGTGAGGTCGTCGAAGACGCCAGGGCAACTGCACTCGCACGCTGCGGAGTCGTAGCGCTTGATGACACCCGGCAGCTGTACGAGGATGTCGGCGGAAGGCTGAGCAAAATGGTAGAAGTAAACGCAGCGTCCGACAACAATCCAACTCCATCAGTGGGAACCTTGCCGTGCATCTGGTTGGTCCTGTTGAAAAGTTTGTTTTTCTGCACAGGGAAAGATGCACGGCTTCTTGCGAATGTACTGGGCGCGACGCCTACTAACTTTATGCTGTTTGCAGTTGCCATGCAAGCAGTGCTCCTCACACAAGACAGCCTTGAGGCCAAGAAGATCCTGGAATGGTCGCCGCAGACTTAAGGAGGAGTCAAGGGCCTTTGGCGCATGCGCTGCCCCAACCGGAACGCTCGACTTCCGAGATCCCGATTCGGTCGAGGTGATAAGGGGAGGGGGCCGTGATAAAATGCTAGAATGGTGCCATGCTGACTGCCCGAAGCCCGTATCCGCAGACAACAAACCTTCATCCAGAGAAGCCTTCCCTGTTCGCAGTCGGTTTGCACACGCTCGAGCTGCATCAGGGAAGGCCGTTTTGTAGCAGCAAACAGAGGTTTTTGTCAGAAAACCGAACACAGAGGGATGGGGGGCCCCTCATCAGTAAACACGCGGGCCTGGGCCCCGATCGGCATACATAGGGGGCCTGAGGGTTGAGTCCTGGAAGATGCGAGAATTTTCAGAACACTTCCTACCGTTTGCGGCAGCCCCCTTCCTGGCTTGGAAAAGCCATTTGGATGCCGAGAGAGAACCGCGATTCTTGATCTCCGCGGAGCTGCATGTCTCCAACAACTTAAAAGTCCAATTGTGTTTTTGCTCAATGGAAGCAAGGGAACCCAAATGATTCGCCAGACGGACTTCCACACAGCTGCCTGGCCAACCATGTGCGAGTGTTAGCGTTTAAAGCTCAGAATCGGCAGATGATCTTTGACGGTTTGGGAGTTGTCTGGGAAGCTACGAGATGACACATTGAACGTAGACAACAGACTCGAAACAGCAGCAAGGGGCCTTAGAAGGTTTGTTGGATCTGCGAGCCCCATATTGCAACGAATCAACTCGAGGGACGGCAGCGCTTCAACATGCTTGAATCGCCTTCGTTGCGTCGTAGCACTGGTGCACCTCTTTCACATCCATCTGTTTGGAGCATAAGGCCATCTCCCCAGGAGGCTCTTGATCGCTGCATTTGGTTGAACGATCGCTATGAGCTTGATGGCAAGGAGCTTAGCAGAGTGTGGGGGTGACCTTGCCAATTTGCCGTCAACTGCAGCATATGCGGACATTTGGAGGCCGTGACCCCAATGGCTATGTGGGCTGCATGTGGAGTGTTTGTGGGGCTTGACACCCGGGCAGCTCGCAAAATTATTGTTCAGCGAGGTTTTTTCTTGACCTTGGCCAGCAACAAACGAGGTTCATGACATGGGATGGAAGGAACGGGAGGCTGCGCTTGATCTTTTTTCACTTTATTGTCTCAGTAGGCGTGCTTCTATAGCTTTGTGGGGGCCTCTCTGTCCAGGTGTTCGGGAAGATTCGCTTCATGAACTATGCCGGATGCAAGCTGCGCACTTTGCAGTTTTTTGAAGCGGGTTGCAGCGCCTGTGCTTGGCAAGAGAGCCCTGCAGCACGCCAAGGCCCAGCACGTTAATCGTCATGACCCCGCAGAAAGCTGTTTCGCATCAAGCTCTTGCATGGCATGGACGGTCATTGATCTGTGCCTGTTCCTTGTCACCATACGACCATACGACGTAGCAGCATATAGGGGCACTCACGCACCCCCACCCCTGCAAGAGAAACTCGCATGGCTGTCAAGCATCGACTTCCAAACAGCAGGGCATTCGTCGAGCTCCCAACTTAGACGAAATGGCTATTGCAAGGGAGAGAAGCAAGATAAGCCGGCTGGTCTGAGAATGTCTGAGGAGATGTCGGCGACACCCCCCGCGACTTGAACCGACGTATCCTGAGAAGCTTACATGAGCGGGGGAGAGGAACACCTGCACCAAGTTCTGATCAGTTATTGCTGCATGGAGACGTAGTCGTGGCATCACTGAGCTTCACAGACAGGAAGCAGACTTTGCCGAGTTCGCCTCCCGACTTAGACCGAAATATTCAGCACGAGCTGGTTCTGAGACGGTCCGACGTGCATGCTGATGAGCTTTTACCAGGCCGGCGAGAAAGTGCATTGTTTTGGCAACGGCGCGCTCAGCGTGAGGACATACGAGGCATGCTGTGCGCGTGTTAGTGATGTCGGTGTACTGGGCGCACTGACAGCTTTGTCAGTGCCGAAGCGCGGCCAGGATTTCATGGAGAATGCAATCGGAGGAGTGGTGACCCGAGCTGCAAAGGATCCGCGCTCAATTCCTTTTGAGTCAGAGAGCTTAGTAATTAGACATGCAAAAAAGTCTGGGTCGCGCTCAGGACCTAGCGGCATGGGCAGTGGAGGCCGTTGCCCCTGCCAACTTTAAGCCCAATTGAAGTACAGCTGCCGTCTTGTGCAGCGGCTGGACAGGCAAGCCCACATGCAACCTGGAATGGCTGCCAAGCCGTGGAACTTGGTGCTGGGTGCTGCTTAGTGAGCAGTGCTTCCTGTCAGCAATGCCACGCGGGTTGCTGCAGTGGTGTCAACAAGCATTGACCAACGAAGCCGACAAGGTTCTCATGAAGCTCGGTGCCACTGTTGTGGCAACGGACTTGCCAGAGCTGCTGCCTCACATGGAATACAATTTGCAGCTAAACGAAGAAGGCCGGAAGTTCACTTTTTTTGAATGTGCTTTTTTAGCACCTTGAGAATACCGTTGGCATGCCACTCCGTCTCTCTTTCTGCAATGCTTTGGGGTCAAGTTTTGGGCTGGGAACTGCATCTGGTTGGATCGCCTCATCCGTTTGTAGCAAGAAAGCTTCCTCCCATTTGACTTAGGAGTCAACTGCGCATGTCGGTTTAGTAGGGTGCAGGTTTTGTATAGACGCAAGGTGGGCATGGGACAACATTGTTGTAGGGTTCAATTGGGTTGCAGATCGATTGCAAAAGTTTCCAACCTTCAACTCGAGCTGGACTGGTGCACTTGCATCGTCCATAACGCAATAACTCCGAAGCCCCAGGGCTTCTGAGTGCGGCAAGATGTTTGTGTGATTGCGTCCACTAGCTACATTCATCCTCCCTTGGTAGGTTGAAGGTTTGGTCGAAAATGGAATCACACAGTCTCCATTAGAGGCTCACATCAGAGGTTCACATTCTACATATGGTGGCATGGTGGCGCGGGGATCTGGGATGACGTGGGTCAGCTATGGTCAGCTGAGCAGGTGGCAAAAGTGGGGCGAATGGTGGGGCATGCCCGAGTAAAACATTAAAAGGAGTTAAACCCAGCAAGCGAGGATCGGCCAATGCACATGCAAGCATGTGTGGTCGGAGGAGCAGCCTGGTCTGTTTTGTGTGAGGGATCGAGGGAAATGTGAGCCACGGCCGATGGCCGAAAACACGGGCTCCAACCCTACATTGGCTGATGCCAAGAGGTGAGGAAGACAGCATAAAACCAGGTGCTCATTGAGGCGGACTGAGTCTAGATTCGGAGGTGCCAAGTGACAATGTGAGCTGAAAGAGAGGTTGCCAAGTGAGAAACGTACAAAAATATAACACAGGTAAACAAGGTGGAATGCAACTCTCAAGACGTTTCTCCCATACAGGATCAGGGGTAGCCGCGAGATGGAGCGTTGACGCGCTGAACTGGGACAGTCCAGACGATGCTCTGGCTCAACAGGCGTTTCCAGCTTTGCTTGCTCTATCTGAAGCCAGCCGTTCTAAAACACGCGGGAGAATTCTGGAAACCCAAGGGAAGCGGTGGCTGTCATTGTGCAGAATAAACGTCACTGTGCTGTCAAGTGTCCAAGGAACGCGGAAGGCTGAGAGCAAAGTTGGGCAGCAATGGCGCTGATGCCATCTTTGCAACAAATTGATTCTTGGCAGCCAAACTGCGGCAAATCCAGCGCTTTTAGCCTGTGCACCGGGCATGATTATGAAATAGTTTTGTTGGCCTGTATTGGAGTCCTCGAGGTGTGTATGCCCGGGACACTGTGGACATGTTCCTTTCAACCTTGCTCGTCCCGACCTGTGGAAGACACGTCTAAAGTCTATCAGGTGATCGTGCTAGGACGTGCCAGGGTGCCTTGCCTCTTCAGAAAGCTGACTTGGCTGAAGGCGTTGTCTGGCCAGCACACATTGGCATTGATGTGCGGCGTGCCAGTACCGCCAGCAGCCCTTGCAGCCGAAGAGCCGTGGCGAAGCACGAAGCTGAAAGAGATGTGATTAGTTCTGTCATGTTCTGTCGTGCTTTGCTTGCCTGGAGGATCGCGGGCTCTCTGCCCTTCCGGCGGATTCTGGTAGTTTTGTAGAGTTCTGTTTTGATAGCATGTTTTACCTTTCTGCCTCGCATCCTACACAGGTCTATGACAGGTATTTGATGGTATTTGTTTTCATATTTGCTCTGCCGCTGTGTCTTTGGTTCCACCTGGGCGCAGATCTACACCTTTTTGAACCCTTGCTATTGTGACACATGGTATATCTTGCGAATGTCCGAGGAGGTCAGCATACTTGATGAGTTCCTGTCGGCATGTCCACGCTACTTTGACTGCTACCTGTTGCTTGCCAGCATTTGTCGTGAGCATTTTCAGGCATCATGTGTAGCGCAGAAGGTTCCAGAAACACGGCTGGCATGAAGCAACGAAGGCTGAAGGTCCCCGGTGGCATCGAATATGCCGGGGTTGCCCGACCGCAAGATTCGCCGTTGGCAGCTGAGCTGGCCAAGCCCTGCGGGCTCACCGCTGCAGCCACGCACCTACTGCAGGGCTTGATGGCACTTCCCCTCACCGTCCTGACATCATGCTGGCACACACATTCATGAATGGGTTGATGTGGCGCCCGGCCGGATGAAGCTACACGCAGGGTGTTCCCGAACAGCAGTTGCATTTTTCAGGGTGTTAGATGAAGCTTCGGGCAGTACGACATTGCTTGAAGCATGAAGTAGGTAGTGTGTTGAGTGTTGTACGGTTCTGACGCACCTAGGGTCGTTTCAGGTACCAATTTCAGGTCCGGTGCTCAGGAACCAGACGGGAGACAATTCAGAACCACACAGGGGGCATTTCAGACGCACACATGGTGCATTTCAGGCGCACTCCTTATGGTTTAGGGTTTGGGGATTAGGTTTTAGGGTGTAGGGTTTCGGGTTTAGGGTTTCGGGTTTGGGGTTTAGGGTTTAGGGTTTAGGGTTTACGGTTTAGGGTTTACGGTTTAGGGTTTAGGGCTTAGGGTTTACGGTTTAGGGTTTAGGGCTTAGGGTTTAGGGTTTAGGCTTTAGGGTTTGGGGTTTAGGTTTTTGGGTTTAGGGTTTAGGGTTTCGGGTTTAGGGTTTAGGGTTTAGGGTTTACGGTTTAGGGTTTACGGTTTAGGGTTTAGGGCTTAGGGTTTACGGTTTAGGGTTTAGTGCTTAGGGTTTAGGGTTTAGGGTTTAGGGTTTAGGTTGTAAGGTTTAGGGGGTTTAGGGTTTAGGCTTTAGGGTTTGGGGTTTAGGTTTTAGGGTTTAGGGTTTCGGGTTTAGGGTTTCGGGTTTAGGGTTTAGGGTTTTGAGTTTAGGGTTTAGGGTTTACGGTTTAGGGTTTTCGGTTGAGGGTCTAGGGTTTAGGGTTCAGGGCTTAGGGTTTAGGGCAAGTTTAGGGTTTAGGGTTTAGGTTTTAGGTTTTAGGCCGGTACCTCGCTGGTCTGGACCCCTCTTCATTCTCCCCAGAGGATCTTGAAAAGGGTCCCTCAACCCAAGGGTACAACTTTATAGAGTCCGGAGAGCTTTCAGTGTCGCCTTGATGCCTCACCTTCGTTCGTGAGCACACTCAAGCCTAAACCCCTAAATCCTAAACCCTATAAGTCCTGGACCCTATAAATACAATAAACCCTATAAACCTGAACGCGGCCTGACATGGCTTGTAGCGGGTGGCTTCAGGGGCTTCGGACTTGTGGCTTTCTGGTGGTGCCGGACCTGAAACGCACCTTGGCCTGTACGAAACGCAGTCCAGCAGAGTCTGAAACGCACCTCCGCGGCCACGCACGGCGGACCTGAAACGCACACCCCCGTTCACGGTCGGGCGGACCCGAAACGCGCTTTGACCGTAGTGTGTTTGGTAGGGTCAGCCTTGACTTCAGTGCATGGCCGACTGACCGACCTGCATTGCCTGCCTGTGTGCGAGAGCGTCCAGACCCCAAATGGACTCGTAGAAACAATACCATGCCGTGAAAGCTTTCAATAACGACATCGATATTGGTTCGCGGGGCCAAAGTGAACAAGGCGCAAAACTCCTAGGTAGGATGAGGGCGACCCTTAAAAGGGAACCCCTTCTGAACCCTCTTCTGGCTGTTAAGCAGGGACTTTATTCAGAGGGTCTATATCCCCAAGGGTCCCCTAATCCTATCCCCTAAAACAAAGAAGCCACTAGTAGCGGCAGCTGGGGAGCAGGGGGCAGGGGGGGTGGGCATATGGCACAAGGATACACAAGTGTGCGAGGGGATTAGGAGGATGCGGCGCAGGCAAGATCTCTGCCGAACAGAAAATGAGCGGCAGGGGCGGCTGTTTCTCGTGTGACACCTGAGAGTCTGAGTGCCTCTTGCAGCCATACGAAATTGAAGGCATTGGCAGACGGAATTTGGCTCTTCAAGCTGCCCGGGTCGGAGTGTCCATCTTGGGCAAGGAGTGCAGAGCGTTGCAACCATTGCAAGTCCTCGCATCATGCAACTAGTTGATAGCAGGCCAGCGTTGACGCTGCACTACGGCACTGCCTTGCAGGCGTCAGCTTATGCAAGCTGTGTATGACGTGGCTCGGTTCCTCATGTCCACGTTCCTGAGGCTGCATCGAGAAGCTTGTGATCTCCGGCATCGGTGCACGGAAAAAGCTGAATGAAAGCCTTCTCCTGTGCGTGAGAGATAATGCAAGTGATGCAGTCTCCTTGGATTGCTTATTAGGCGGAAGTTCGACGTGGCTGGCTTCGTCGCGACTCGGCCATTTTCAGACTCCCCTAGTCGCACTGCAGTGGTCGCCACCTGCTCGACTGCAAGGCAAAGTTTCCAGGCGCCGTGCCCCACGGAGCAGGAAGCTCAGCACGACGGGGGAACAAGTCTGCACATATGTCGCGTCATACAGCAAGGCAGAAGCAGCACCAGCACCCAAGAAGAGAAAGGCCAAAGCGAAAGCAAAGGGGGCGGCTGACAAAAGGGCTTGAGATGAGTCTGCTTCACGATCACGAGGATTAAAGTTGCCTCGTGTGGTAAGTCGGCAAAGGCAAACGGTTCTTCGACATTAATTTCTGAATTGATCCGCCACGATCAACAAGGCACAAGAAGAATCATTATTGGATCGGGTCCTCAATTGTCTAAATGGACGCATTGGAAATATTTGAGACTAGATGGATAATAGCATCTCTCGCTACTCTACGAATTTAGGGGTTTGGAAGTTCGATTAATGTTACATTTCTCAATTGAATATCGAAGACGCCGAGCGGCGAATCAGTGGCCGCTCCCCGAAATTTTGTTAGCAGATGTGTACGTAATGTGGGGATTTAGGCTTTTCTGCGCATGGGATTTTGAGGGCTTTTGGGTAGAGATATTTTCTGGGCCTACGTTTCCAAACATTAAATCGCACGAGTTTTTGTTTTGGGTTTTCGGGTTTAGGAGGAAGCCTTCAGCAAGCCAAGTCTTCATTTTGGGCCTTTCGTGGATTCAAGGCTGTTTTTTGTGTGGGATTTTGAGGGTATTTTGGGTCGAGACACCTTTCTGGGTTATGTTTAGAAAGTATTTGTTGCTTCTTGGGTTTAGGGTTTAGGATGAAGCCTTCAGCAAGCCATTTCACTATTTTGGGTCTTTGGGGGATTCAGGGTTCTTTGCGTATGGGATTTTGAGGGTATTTCGCGTAGAGACATTTTTTGGGGTTAAGTCTGCAAATATGTTGTCATACGACTTTTGGCTTCTTGGGTTCTAGGGCGCAGGAGGAATCCTTCAGCAAGCCATGTCTTTATTTTTCGTCTTTTGGCGATTTAGGGTTGTTTGTATACGAGATTTTGTTACGAGGGTTGAAACCTATTTTGCGAGCATTGTATTTGCAAATGGGCTCTGCCCCCCCCCCCCTCCCAACCCGCCGGTTTGATAAGCAGTACAAATTTGCTTCAAAGCAAATTTTTATATGAAATCCATCATGCGAGCACTGTGTGCACTGTGTCTGCAAAGGGGGGGCCGCCCCCCGCTTTTTTCGTTGAAATCGTGCAAAATTTAAATATCAGGATCTTTTTCAAACCCATCCTACGACTATTGTATTTGCAAATGGGGGGGGCCTCCCCCCCCCCCCAACCCCCCCGCTTTACTAAGCCGTGCAAATTTACTTCGAAGCACCTTTTTATACCTATCATACGAGTATTATGTCTGTAAACGGGGAGGATTATGGGCCCCCCCCCCCCGCATCCTTCCGCCTTTTCATAAGCCATGCAAAGCTGATTTCAAAATATAGGAATCTTTTTCAAATCCATCTTGCGAGCATTATATTTACGATTGGCGGTTGCGCCCCCGCCCCCCCGCTTTTTTCTTTTAGGCCGTGCAAAGCTTACGTAAAAATATATGGATCTTTTTCAAACCCATCTTACGAGCATTATATTTGCAAATGGGTGGGGGCAACTAATCCCCCTCCCGCTTGTTTAAGCCGTGCAAACTTGCTTCAAAGCACCTTTTTTTCATGAAACCCATCCTGCGAGCATTGTGGTTGCAAATGGGGGGGGGGAATTAAAAAAAAACCTCTGGGGGGGATGTCTGGGGGGGGGGGTGGGCGAAAAAACAACCTTAGGGGGGTCAAAAATACATTCTGGAGGGGAGGGTGCGACCTCTCCCCCCACAGGGTTTGGATAGGGTTCTTCTGTAGGTGTCTAGGAGTGATGATGTTGTGGGTGGCCGGGTTCGTGGCTTGTCGTCTTCTTCATTGCAGGAAGTCCCGGCGAGGATGCCATAGAAGGACGTTTAGACGAGTGAGGGGCGGCATGCTTCTTGTTTGGGTTCTTCTGGTATGTACTGCCTCTCAGCAAGCATGGCAGACGAGGGGTTTCGGGGCCTCTAGGATGGTTCCTAAAATCCTCGACGATTGGGGTGGGTGCCGAGTGAATCGTTATTTTATCTCAGACACCTTCGGTCCTGCGCCGTCTCGGCCACTGGAAAAGCGGGGTCCGTTTGGTCGGGCTTACTTCCGCGGGGCGAAGAAGGACATCTTGCAGGGGATTCTGGGTTGGGAGTGATAGGAGGGTTTGTTGTCCAGGGTGCGCAGTACTTTTGTGGTGTCCTTTGGAGGGTCGTGCAATTCTGTCGAATGCTCGGTTGGATCTTTGGTGAGGGGTGTAAGAAGAGATTGGTAAGCAGATTTGAACAGACTCTTGCCTCTTTTCTCGCTCCTGTGAGGTGGGGAGCACATGCTCCGTACGTCTATTTTGGATATCTCCTCCGTAGTCTCCTTAGTGCGCGTGATTGGGTGCGCGTTGCGTTCTTGAGTGGAGGCTTCTGGGCATTTCATCGGGGATGTCATGTTCCGGTCTTTCGGTGCAAAGTGATTTCCACATTGTTGGGCTTGATTTGCTCCTCGTATATCGATGCCGATCAGCGATCCTTGATATTGCTATTCATGTGGGAATATCCGGCATATCCGATGGAAGAAGCTATGGAGGTGGATGCGAGTTTGGATCACCTTAACCCTGCGGCCTATGAAGGCAAAAGAATGCATGAGGGCGATGTCGAAGTGCATGCTGCTTTCAACGAGTTGTTCGCGTTTGATGAGACCCCTGAAGAGCTCCTTGCTCAGGAGACCGGTAGGATTCCACCGCGCCTCTCACGGCAGATGTTCCATTGTCCTGTCACTGGCTGTTCGCGTAGCTTCGGTGCAGGTGGGGCGGGATGGAATAATCAAGACGCGGTACGAGCCCATGTGGATCTTCACTTGGCAGGAGATCTTAGAGGAAGTCCTCCCGCCAAATGGCTCGCTGATAGAAACCTTGGGATATGTCGGGGATGCCATCGTAGTGCTAGTTTGCGGTTCCACGGGGGTGTCCACTCGCGTTGTTGGCGGCGTTTGCAGGGACAGGACTTGGTTGAGGCGCGTTTGGGCATTGCGGGGGATGAACGTATTCCGCTCCCCTCCATCGAAGAGATTTTTTGCACTCATATCTCCACGAAGGAAAGCCTTCCTTCGTCGCTGATTGCTTTGGCAAGGGAGGAATATGGTAAGTGTCTCGCACGAGTCTTGGAGAGTTCGTGTGACCATGCTTGGGACGTTTCGGGTGGGGATTCTGTTAAGAAGCAGCAACACAGGCATGCCTGGCAAGAACTCCTCATGTTTCCCAAGTGTACTTGCCGACAATTTGCTAGGGGTCAACGTCCGCTGCAGTCCCTGAATTTCTCGCGCGCGCTTCTTTTGAGGTGGAAGGCTGGTGAGCGAGGAACCTTGTGGCAGGAGGCGGTCGAGGCTGGCGAACGACAACCTAGAAAGCATGGGAGTGCCCAGGACCAGCTCGAGGACTATTGGGATCCCCCCAATCCGGCTCACCGGGAAGCCGAGCGACTTGCCATGCTCGGGCGACCGTCCCAAGCTCTCAAGCGATTGATGTCGGTCGGTCTCGCTCATGACACCGCGGCTGTCGAAGCTAAATTGAAATCGAAATTCCCCCCTGCCCCGACCGGTAATCGACGGCCTCAGCTTACTGCCACTGCTCCTCCCGAATTACCACTCGTGTATCTCCGTCAAGCGGTTCGTTCGTTCGCGCGAGGAAGCGGTCCCGGACCGGACGGCCTTCGGGCCGATTTCCTGCAGGATGTGTTCGGAGATGATGACGCCGATCCCTTCGTCGAGCTTTTCCGGCAGTTCGTCCAGTACTTGGCGGAAGGGCGAGCCCCTCAGGCGCTTCGGCCGTGGTTGGGGGGTGGCACTTTGATCGGTGTAGGCAAACGGGATTCTCAAGGAAAACCTATCCCTCTCGACACTGATGCTCGTCCTATCGTCATGGGTGGGGTGTTACGTAAGGTGGTGTTCAAGACTACTTTCTTAATGGATAAATCCTCCATTCAAGAGCGTTTGGCCCCCCTTCAGATGGCGGTAGGCGTTAAATCTGGCGCTGAAGCTATGACCCACGCCGCTCGGACTTGGATACATCATAACCGGCATAGAAGGGATTGCGTTCTCCTTCAAAGGGACATATCTAATGCTTACAACGAGTTGCATCCCCACGAATTCTTGGATGATTGTTTTTTTCATATGCTCCAGTCTCTAGTAAGTTCGCTGAGTACTGTTATGGGGAACCGAGCCATCTTATGTATCATGGACGTCTCCTTGCTTCAAATCGAGGTCAACAGGGTTGTCCATTGATGGGACCCTTGTTCTGTCTTACTCGCCGTAGGATGTGGGAGGAGGCTCGCGCGAACTTACAAGGACCCCCCCCCGAGTTTGAGCCAGAGTTCGCCGACGATGGTTTTAGTGGGGGAACTCTTCTTTCAGTTTGGGCCTCATTCGAGCAGGAGCGGGCGCTTGCCGCCAAATATGGAATCCGCTTTGACTTCGCGAAAACCACGCTTTACCTTCTTGCGGGCGAGCACTTTGAGGGTGATCTTCGTCCTTTCCGAGAGTTGGGGATACGTATCGTGACGGGGTGTGATGTTAGGATGTTGCAAGTTCCGGTTGCAGGAAAGCCCGAACATTTTGCGACTTGGCAGCGGGATGCGCAACAGGAGCTTTCCAAGGCCTTCGAAGCAGTGGAACAACTTCCTCATCGACATGTCGCTTTCCACCTTTTGCAGCAGTGCTTCGGCTTCAACAAAATTTCGTATTATTGTCGTAGTATCCCTCGTTCTTGTATTGAACCCTTCCTTGATTGGTACGCCCTTCGTATGCGGGAGTCATTCTCACACATTCTCGGGAGTGACGTCAGTGATGCTCAATGGCAACAGGCCGCTTTGCCGCCTAAATTGGGAGGGATGGGATTGGCGGATGGCCGCTTGATAGTTGCAGGCACGGTGATTTCCCAAGCTGATATTGCTTTTCTGAGTTCTTGGAAGCAATGTATGCCCATCATCGCTGGCATTTTGCCGACGGGTAGAGCCGGTGACGGGGGAGCTCATCTACGAAGTGCTATGACGATACTCTCCCAATATTTTCCCGATCTCGATCAACAAGAACAGCCGAAATCATCTCTTCTTGTTCAAAAGCTTCAGCAGGAGACTGCCGATCAACTCATATCCGCCGCGACCCTCTCTGAACGTGTTAGATTGCACGCTTGTCGTGCTCCGTGGGCAAATGGATGGATCACCACTACCCCTTCATTGACCGAGGATACTTTCATGCCGAACGTTGCATTCCAAGATTCTGTTTCTATGCGACTTGGCATGACGGTGTTTCAGGACGATGAGGGTTGCCCGTTTTGTCATCAAATTAGTGATAGACATGGTCGTCACGCTATCTCGTGTATGAAAGTGGGGACCCACACCAAAGTTCATCATTCCTTACGTGATTGTCTCTATCGTCTTGCTCAAGAGGCCAACTTACGACCGCAACTCGAAGCTTCGGGGTTGTTGCCGGACGCGCCGCAACGACGCCCAGCGGACGTGTTACTGCCAACAACGAACTTGTTGAAACAGACCTCATGGCGTAGGTATTCAAGTTTGGCCCTCGATTGTGCAGTCGTATCTCCTTTTGCCATTTCGGCTCCCGCTCGAGCGACTGAGGAGCCAGCTGCTACTGCAAAGGCTTACGCAGAGCACAAACGCCGGGCACAGGAAACTGCACGACAATGCGCAACACAAAACATTGGCTTCCAACCTATCATCTTTGAAATGCTGGGAGGTTGTGATCCTGAAACGGCATCCTTCCTTAATGGCTTGTGCCAGGATCACGACGGCGTGCAGCACCGTCGACCGGGTAGTTGTCGACGTCTTTTGCAGACTCGAGTTGCTTTCTTGTTACAGCGACATATCGGGCAAACCCTCATGAAGTATCGTAGAGCACAGGCGAAATCTGGCAATGAGGATGCGGGCCGATATCTGAATTATATCAATTCTTGATTTTCTCGATGGGATTTTCTTTGAATTTTTGAGTCGTCGGTACTTACATTGTATTGCCAGGCGTGTCCCACCGCAGGCTCCGCCAGAAGCTGCTTTCGGCCGACATACGCGGGCGCTAGCGTGGCGAGGCGACGGAAGCGTGATGCTTTGTATATAATTTGGTTTTCACCTTTATTATGTTTCCCTTTGTGGGACCTTCGTTGTCTTCTTCTACTTTTCGTCTTTCTGGGACGCCTCTTAATTGGGGGTGGTGGCGGGTTTTTATGCACGTCGAGGTGTCTTGGAGAGCACGAAATCTTGGTTGTTTGGTTTCGTTTTTATTTCTGGG